AAAATGTGTTTTTATGTTTTGCAGCCACAGTAAATTATAGTACATGACACTACATGTACATTGTATATGAACATGAAATTATAAATGTGGTCAGTTATATTGTATGTAGCCATTGAAACCTCAAGTAGTGAAGAAAGTACCAAGTGTTAAACTTTTCCGTAAACAGATTTTCAAAATGATCCACTGCCGGGTTTAGGAAAGAAGCTGAGAGAGTTTTTTATTTATTGAGCGACAAAGAAGTATTCCAACAATTCACCTGACATGACAAATAGCGATGACACCCAGTCTCGCTTAATTGCCGTGCGTCCCTTACGTCAGTCAACCTTAAACGTGGCGAAACGTTCCCGCATAAAAAGATATCCTTTCTTACGTTGTATGGAGTCTCTACGACACTCTGTATATGTTGGTTAAAAAGTTGGTAAGTGCCTCCACTTATGACATATCTGTCTGCTGACCAACCTCTTGACACATGCACATGATCTCTGCACCACAGCGGAGCCAGTGTGTCCATATTTGTCGCCAGCCATCTGTCAAAAACCCGTCAAGTTGGAAATGAAGAGCGGGCGAAGTCGTCCTGGTAGCCTATGGGACGCGCCGCTTTTTCCGTGGGGGTCATTCCGCTGGCCGAAAATTTTAACCCTCTGCATCTGCGCTAAATTATAACATGTCCCGTACATGATCAGTAGCGAGAGCTCTCGACTTCCTAACAGTGTCTGTTTTTTGACTCGTGGGATTCAGACGTGTGTGTGTCATCTCCACAGCTCAACCGTGGTGGGGATTTTGAAAAATGAAGTCGAGCGAGGAATTACCGAACACCGAATCCGCGCAGGACGCGTAAGTATGATGTGATGTTAGAGACTAGTGTTGTTTCTATGGAGAACCCGCAACAACTTGCGGCTGAACATGCCAAGCGCCGGTTGAGGGGATTTTTAACACCCTGGTGTTGATGTCCCTTGCGTGACGTTTCCACACGTCTGTGCACTTGCTGGAAGTGAACTTGAACACTCTATATCTTATCTAAACGACTTAACCGCTCATCGCGGCAGGACCGGGTGGCTAACGAACGCGCCAGCCGTGTCAACTTTTCAATATATCCCCTCTCGTTAATCTGACGTTTACATTTATTGATATTTCAAAGGGTACGAAGGTCAAAAATGCGATTTACTTAGTTTAAACCAGGGTACATTGACCTGCCGCCATAGATGTTCACATTTTTTCTTACTTCAAGAACTAGAAAAAAAGACGGGTGGTTTTAATAGAGAGAACTATCTACACATCTTTTCTCATCAAATTGACATATAAATTTGTCGTAAGTTTCTACATTCTGACATTCTTTCTACATTGACATTGGCAATGGTACATTGACCTGCCGCTATAGATGTTCACATTTTTTTCTTACTCCAAGAACTTAGAAAAAAAAGACGGGTGGTTTTCACAGACGACTATCTACACATCTTTTCTCATCAAAATGACATGTAAATTTGTCGTAAGTTTCTACATTCTGACATTCTTTCTACATTGACATTGGCAATGGCAATGGTACATTGACCTGCCGCTATAGATGTTCACATTTTTTCTTACTTCAAGAACTAGAAAAAAAGACAGACGGGTGGTTTTCACAGATGACTATCTACACATATTTTCTCATCAAAATGGCATGATGTAAATTTGTCGTAAGTTTCTACATTCTGACATTCTTTCTACATTGACATTGGCAATGGTACATTGACCTGCCGCCATAGATCGATGTTCACATTTTTTCTTACTTCAAGAACTAGAAAAAAAGACGGGTGGTTTTCACAGATGACTATCTACACATCTTTTCTCATCAAAATGGCATGTAAATTTGTCGTAAATTTAGCGTACATTGACATTGACAATGGTACAAATGTACATTGACCTGCCACCATAGATGTTAATTTTTTTTCCTACTTCAAGAACTAGAAAAAAAAAACGGGTGGTTTTCACAGACGACTATCTACACATCTTTTCTCATCAACGGAAGGGATTAAACTACCAGCAAACCTTTGTCCTGGCATGTAAATTTGTCGTAAATTTCTACATTCTGACAGGAACACAGGAGAGTGAGCAAATCTCGCTAAACCCTGTACACATGCAGGAGTCATAAAAGCCACGCTGGAGGCCACTTGCTTCTAATACTAAAGTCAATACGTGGGTATTTCAGAAAGTCCTCGAGGTGACGAAGTGACCTCTTTTGCATAATACCCCGGTTTGGGTCCTCAAATAGCCCTGCACCTGCGTTGACTAAACTGTCAGAGCTGCCAAGCCCGTCACTTGTGCATTTTACACCGGCACAATAGTGAGACAAAGGCCGGGGACGGTCGCAATGGTCCCCTGTGTCACGGCAATGCAAACACGCTCGAAACAAAAATCTATCATCCGTCTTGCGTCTGACGCGGAGCTAATTTTGAGTATTGACGCAGCCCCACAAGTGCGTGTAACGCTTTTCTTTTTAAAGTCCAAACGTTTCCAAACTTAGCAGAGACTTGTACCAGCCTGACTGTTCACACATTGGCCGGCAGACGGCCGGGTCAACACAGAACAAAATATTATTTACAAGTCCCGTCATTGCCGAAATGAAGGGAAGTGACCATGACCACTGACTAAGTTCACTCGTTATTATATTAGCAACTGGAGAGGAGTTCGGCTAATTAACGAAGTAGGTGCGGATATTGCCCGGTAGGGTTATAACAGCAATATACGGGGATATACGGGGGGTGTAAATATGTCAGTTATCGTATCGTATCGCCCCCCGCCGCGGGGGTACATCGTGCAGGTGGCCGCTGGCAGGTTGAGTCCCGACCCGCTCGTGATTGGGACTACTTCAGTGGTGCTTCAGCCGCCTCTCGAAACTTCCTATCGCCCCTTGTTGTTGATCGCTGTGTGTGACTGTTTTCCCCCGCGCTCTAATCCTCCCGCTACCGCAAACTCACCAAACACCTCGTCGCTGGGGGATTTGTTTGCCCAAACTCAATAAAGCGCGATAAGACTCTATCATCGACCTTGTTCAACACCTCGGCCGGCCCGATAAGGGGCATCTCCCGTGTATTAACCCCGCCGATAACCCCCAAACACCCGCTACACATTTCTCACCTGCGCCGGGCTCTCCGAGGTGGGAAAAATTTACTCTTCTGGGTGCGTCAAACATACCGAGGCCTTTGTGTGCACGGTGGCTTGTGGACTCTAGACCCTAAAACGCTCCATAGTCACTCTATCAATGGGTCGGGGGAAAGAAATCGGAACGATTAAAGAGAGTCCGCTGAAAGAGCCAGGTAAGGGGACAGGTATGGTTGATTTATCAATCACAACAGGTGTATGAATACAGCATCTTATCGAGGAAAGGTGGACGGAAAGATCCGCGGAGGTATTAAAAAACTGCCGGGCGGTTAGTCAGGCTTTTCGGCAGCGCTGTATCGCGGGACAGGTAAGCAATGATAACCAAACAGAACACAAATAATCGTACAAGGGTTTCTTTGCCATGTTTAAGCCATGTTATGGGTGTCGTGATTTGGGTACGTGTGACTCGGGGACACAGAAACAAGGAAATATCATGAAAAATAGTCTACAAGACAGGTACAAGAGGAGGAATTCCGGTCGACCCTGTGTTTTTTCTAAACATTAGATATTGTTCAACAGCGGAGCCCGGCCCACGGATAAATATTTTGCCAACATCAAACGATAATGTTTCCCTACACGTGTCGTGACATCCTTAGTTATATACGTACACAGTAGCTAACATGGGGGGAAAAGCTGTAAAACTACAACCCTTACACACATGTGCAGCTGTGGACCTGGAAGGTAAGATACCAGCACCATCGCTACATCGCCCGTACAACGCTATTGCTGGAAAATATTGAGCTCAAAGGTTAAGCCCCTCAACCTATTTCACAGCCTGTCATCGAAAACTAAGATGTTCCGTGGAGTTACGACCCCCCCCCCCTCCTTCAACGAAAAATCCCCCCCTGTGAAGTGAAACAACTATGGGCAATATAAGGCATTGATTGCTTCAAGGGAGACAGCCAATGAGAGAACGTGTAAACTTCAGCACTGACCAATCAAGTTCGCGGTCTCAGAACGTTCGGCTGATGATTAATTAGAGTTTTCCTTATACGCTTTGGCTAACATAAAGTTGCAGTCACCATCTATTATCACACACACAGGCACATGAACTTGTACATGTCACGCGGTCCTGGCCGAGAATATCTTTAAGAAAAAGAATTGCGAAGTCTTGAGAGAAGGTCGCGTCTTGAGTTATGGTAGTGAGAGCGGCAGATGTTTCGGGGTGACACAAATGTCCCGACAGAGTCATCCTTCCCAACTACTACAATCTAGGTGAGTAAAGCCTCATGCGTACAGGACATTCAATACGGTCTTCCCTCTCCGAAATACTCGGGCGTCCAGAACGTGATGTTCCCACCGTAATGCCACTCTACAGTACTCAACATGACAGAAGAAGTGTTCACTATTTTGTTCGGTGTTTATTTTGTCTGGTAGCCCATGCCCGATCGAAGAGGCGACCGGGGTTGAGGAAGAGTCTGGCCGGCTAAGTGTCGACGGAGAACCCGGTGATCAGACAAGGTATCATCGCACAACACACACACGTCAACTATAAACCACTGTCTCATTAAAACATCTCAGAAAGATAGCATCTCCATTTTCTTAATTAACCACAAAGTAGTGTCCTAATCAAAGTTAAGACATGAGCCACAAGATTTCCGTAAGAAAGTTAAGGAGCTGGTTAAAGAAAACATAAAACTACGAATAAAAGTTCTAGAAGCGAAAGATTTTGAGAGGAAAATTTCTCGGATTTAGCCGGGACATAAGATAAGACGAATGTCAATACTTGAAGTCCCGGTGTGCTATGGAGCATGTAATCAGCTACCACGCTTTCCTTCCTCGGCGATTCGCGAAGGGAAATGTTATGTGCATAGTATAAATACATTAGGGGGCGGGGAAAGGAGCGCTCGTGGCGGGCTGGTGACGTAGAGAGTGTGTGTGCATCTCATTCAGAGTAGAGAGAGAGTGGAGAGAGAGAGAATGCTCAGTGCATCGCCCATAGCGCACTGGTGTCATCCCCACGGGCACTCTCAATAACAAAAGCCGGTCCAGGTCACCACTGGGCGCGCAGACGGGACTTTGAGCCGGCGCACACGTACGTACCCGGACGGACGACGTCCACGCCAGACCCTACCGAGTGTCGACACGTCCTTGTCCGGTCAGCGGCACGGGCCCGGGGGGCACAGGAACCTCCGAGCGGTCTCAGAACACAAGAGTTACCGTTACAACTCGGGAGCACGCGGCCTGGCGTAGTAGTAAGTTTCAGCTGTTTGTGTCTGTGTCCGTACACAGACTATGTGTATGTATGTTGACTTGTTAACAAGAGTACGTGTGTGTGTGTGGTGGCATCTTATAGTGTAACGCGAGTCCCAAACATTCCTATCCTTTCATCATACTTGGTACTCAGAGGCCAAGGATTATAAATAATCTACAAACAGAGCCTGATTCCTTCCAAATCTTAGAGTAAATACAGACGGTACTTTTTTTTATGTCAAAGGAAGTTTTTGTTACGAGGGGAGGGAGGGTGTGAGTAGACCCGTCCGTTACATCATGTGAGGCCGGGTAGTCGGTGTAGGAATGTGATCACCAAACAGTGAGCTAACCGCCTCGTGTTGTCCCCTCCATGTCGGTCCCTGCAGGGTTGAAGCGATGAAGGAAAAGTCGAAGAACGCTGCCCGGACCCGGCGGGAGAAGGAGAACTATGAGTTCAGCCTCCTGGCCAAGCTCCTGCCGCTACCGTCTGCCATCACGTCCCAACTGGACAAGGCAAGCATCATCCGTCTCACCACCAGCTACCTCAAGATGAGGGCCGTGTTCCCCGAAGGTAAGCAAGCCACGCAAACACTCGGGCAGAGAAGCGCAGTCGACCGTAGAGGGTTTAGTGTCCTCTCGGTGTTTACGGTACGGGGTTTGGGAGGGCGTCGAGCTCGGGGGACATGTTGTCATCGTGGCGACCCAAAACAAGACACCGCGAACAGCTGGACAGATAGGCGGGCAGGCATGGTGGTCATCCCCGTGTCAGACAGACTTGCGTCTTCTTCAGGATCCCATCAAGCCTTGGCTTACTGTTTTACTAGCCGTGAAATGAGGGTTTGTCTCGTCTTTCTAGTAGTCGAGGTTCCTTGAGCGTGGGGTCGGCAGCGTTGTTCCGGTTCAACAGACCGGAGGCGAGGGGGGCACAGACCCGTTCCTGACCCGGCCGAGTCACGGAGAGAACCCCCCTTGCAGTCCGAGATACTCTCCCGTACGGCCCGAGTTTTTGTTACCCCACGCCGTAGACCAAACCGTAGAAATCGAGAGCAATTCCTCTCGCCGGGAACCTGAAAACAGAGCCTAACCTGTGCACAGTTCGCCTGGCGGGGTGTTAACGAGGGTGGGGGACCCCGCATCTGTTACCACCATACGAACTCCACTTCTCGCTTTTATTTTGGTGCGTCTTCCCATAATTAACTACAGCCGAGGTAACCATTTCTACTACACAATTCCCACCAGACAGTGACTAGAGAATATTTGCTCGAAAATGGTGTAGTTTCCCGAGTTTTAATGTTGTTCACGGGGGTGTTAATTGTGGGCCGTCACTTTCACACGAGTTTGTTTATCGTTCTCGAGTTCAGGTCCTATAGCTCGTTAGACCTCATTAGTGTATCACCGCCCTTCTCAGCGGTCTACAACCCAGAACTACCCTCCTACACAATGGGAAGTCATGGATCCTTGTAATAGCGCTCACTCCCGGTGTATGGTCGCCTATTATCTGAGAGGAAGTCTTTCAGCACCACATAGCACGGCCCATCGAGTCGTGAAGCACTGTGTAGCACCCCACACAAAATGTGTGTATTGGCCATTTTGTTTGAACACGTTATCGGTACCCGCAATCTTAGCTAGATCTCTCTTCTCTGTCGACCAGGCGAGGAAGCCAAGAGTGTTTACCCTATCCACCTTTTCACAATATATCCAGGTTATTCTATAAACTAAAACATATCGCCATTATCATAACGCTTGGGAGTATATACATGTAGGTTTTGTGTGATAAAACTCAGTAAAATCATCCCGACATTGAGAAGGTTGTTGGTTGTATTTAGAGTGTCGCCACTTGTGTACAGTATTTTTACTCAGGTTATATCAACGTTGGTTGATTTTATTACACCTTTTTCCACAAAGGCTTCCCCTGTTGAATTGTTGAACACAGCAGGCGCAATTATGCTATATTAGCCTTGCTTGCGGGCATACAAGGAGGGTTATTTAATTTACTCCGGCTTATTGTTCCCAACGTTTTAACAACTGTCATTTTGAAAGGTCCCAAGGCGAGCGCTTATACTTAACCGGTTGTCGGTTTGTACGGCAAAACTCGAAGGCATTCCAGTACCATTTTTATAAGAAATAGTCTTTTTCAAGTTACAAAATGGAAGGCTAAAGCGAGCAGTTATAATCTTCATGACCTTTGTTCAACGTTCAAGTTGTCAAACGTTTGTATATTTACAACACATACTATATACGGTGCATATCTCTACTGCACATATCTTAATTGTTTGCCATAAAATGATGCCTTATAGTGGACACAGGTGTGAAACGATTTTGAAGAACCGACCCCACGCAGGACCGAAGTGTGGCAGTTATATGGCGGTAATACAGGTTCACTTTGTACAGCTTGTTCAAGCACTATTGCTCGCTATCTCGGCCCTTGTACACCGTGTTTGTTCTCCAATAAATTGCCAAAGAAAACACAAAAGGCAAGTTTACCCAGCCGATAAGGATAATTTAAAAACGGTCCCCCACATAAAAGAGATTTAGAAAACGAGATATGTACGAGCTCGGGACCAATGTGGCTTTGTGTGAAATCAGTTTTTGAAAGAGTGGAAGTGGAGTGGACTGCGTTTTAAGTGGTCCAGAAAGCACGAATTTTCTACACCAGACGTCATGGACATGTGAGAACCCTTAACAAATTAAATATATTCAATAGCCTGGCGGGGTTTTATGTTGACAAACGTTAAGTGAAATTGCTGAAAACCTTCCCCCTGTGCGCGCGAAATTGCCATTGTTCTGGCTCGCGCGTGGGGCGGTGGAAAGTTTGGGGTGTAGTTTGGTGGTGGGGAAGTCGCGCTCGGTCTGTCTTTTGTCGGCTCTGATTCCGCGCACGTTGTTGTAACAGTTTGCATGTTAACTAGCTGGGTCCCGAGCTAGGCGTGTGTCACAAGATGGGAACAAATTGGGGAGATTTAGGGCGATAATCTCAGGACGGGTCCGCGCGGTTGAGAATGCCTCCGGGATGCGGGGAAGGGTGGCACTACGTGCCCGTCCATCGCGAGTTTCAATATAATGTATAATGCATACGTCTCCCTCTTGGCACGATATCTTTGTAAGGCGTGTGTCTGCCTCCAGAAATACAATTATACCTTCCACAGGAAACTTATTTAAGGGTCCACCAGTTAATAAGGACGAAGCTAGTTTCATAACTAACGAGGGTGGCCCAGTCAGTTGCAATCTTTGCAAATATATGTCGTCCATAATTCATCGGGAGATAGATCTAGCGTCTAGTCGCCACTTCCCAGTTAACTTTTCCCAGCTTTGTATTCAGAAATGGTGTTTGTCAACTTTTTTGTCGATTGTCCGTTCGTGATAAACTCTCGGCAAACAAGGCCACAATCCAGGGAATTTAGATGCAAATCCGCGCTGGTTAATTTGCCGGGATTTTTATAAGACCGGGGCAATCGGGAAGCCCAGGATTTTGTTTGCTGAGCTTTCTAGTTTTTAACGCCTTTTTATGTTGTCCCAGCGTGGTTCTATTACTTGAGTAAACTTGGGGGAAATTTACAAGGAGGGGCAAGGCTTTGTTCCCACGGATAGATATACCCAATAAGTTTTTGTGGGAGAACAAAAGGGGGCGTCAAAAACATGACAGCGTTAGAGAACCCCCGCCGGAGGACTCAAGATCGGCCGATAAGGCTTCAGCGGGCGACTGCTAGCTTCGTAGACTGATTTCTTTCAATATATAAATATATGCGTCGAAAAATACGTTACAAGACGGAAATATCATGATTCCAAGATGGCTTAGAAGTTGTAGACGGTAGTCAGACTAGGAAATTGCCGCAGTTCTTGTCCAGAGAAGAGGCGTAGTGCCTGCTCGTCTGTTGGCGGTAGTTCTGTGTCTCCGTGTCCGCCCGTGAGGTGTGTGGATGTCTGATGTAACGTCTCTCCTACCCACCAGCGCGGAAACACGTCCGTAACCAAGGTTACAGAGTGGCCAAACGTGCAAAGTCAAGTTTGTTGACAAATCGCTGGATATCTGGGGAGGCCAGGGCGGTGAAGTTGAGGAGTGCTCGGGGGGCAGAGGTTCGCTCTCACCCTGTATCCATGTGTGCCGTTCCCAGGCTTTTCTCCGGCTCCGAGTTCCGCCAGCCAGGAGAGGTCAAGTTTGTGTGTGGAGCCCGGGCGTCCTCCAAAACACGGAGTCGGTTCCCTAGGCGGTATTCTCTGCACCAGAGCCAGGCCTGGCGGTTCCCTGTCCACCGTGGTGTATTCTCTGTCAGGTCTCGTGCGCTGATTAGCTAAATATGATTAATTGGTGTAATTAGTGGGGATGATGAGAGGCAGTGACAGCGCGAAGCCGCAATGTCCGCCATCTTACCACTATCTCCTGGGTCGCTCAGATTCTATCGTGCGCTTTGAGGTCGATCGGTATTTGAGCTGTTTTCGCGTAAATTCCTCTTGTACATTGTTGTCTATGCGGGTAAACTTTCAGCTTTGGGTATGATCTGTCCACATATGTCTTTTGGTGACAATTAACTTTTTCTTTGAATGCTCACATTTCTCGTACACCCCATACAATTTGACATTGTAACATCTGTACCCTTCGTTGTAGTTTTCAGTTTTGTCCTAAATATATACATTGTATACCATTGCGCCACAAAAAGTTTATTACACCCAAATTTGAAGCGTGTAACGACCATGTCCAAATTAAAAACTTTAAAACAGTCTACGTGACATGATCTTCCTCGCATGGCCGCCTCCGAAATGGATGTACCTTAACCCTGGACAGCTGTGCCTATCACCCAACCTGCGCGCGAAAATAATAAAAAAAGGACAAGCTAATGACAAGACGATCACTCAAACATCAGACGACCCTTTGTCTTTACCCACAGAAACAATAGCGCTGTTTTTACAGAGATAAGATCGTACGAGGTTACCTAGGGGATTAGATAGCCATCTTTTATTTACTAATAACGTTTTGAGCGTTTTTGAACCCATGGATCATCTACGCTTGACTTGGTAGCTGACTTGATATATAGTTTACAGCAGGGGCACCCAAAACTCATAAATCTCGGCCCGATCTTTAATTAAAAATCAAATTACCCAACTAGAACGATTACAGGCAGAGTCATACACATTGTTGGCCAAATTAAACATTATTGTAGTATATAATGCGTGATATACACTTATATAAGGTATGTAACCTTGTCGTAATAGACCCCCTTGGATTGGGCATTGTAACTTTTTTTAACCTGATTTATGACAATTACCCCCGTATTACCCAACAAATCTTTGTAATGAAGGTTCATACAATATATGCACTTGTTCGTCAGTGTATATTAAACGTGTTATAAAACCTTCATTCCAATAGTGTATGATACGGCGCGGCTACATCAAAAGGATTTTTGTATTCCATGTACAAAGATAAGATTTGGTAGCGTTTGGTAGTGAGTTATGTATTATCATCCGATGTTTTGGGTACGTTATTGTAAATTTCTTCAAATTTTCTTCATTTATGTGTAGTTTTGCACTTGCAATATCTTTATGAAACACACAGGAGTTATATTAAATGTGTATACG